AGGCAAAAGGTTGACCACACGCTGTCGGTACTCAATTGGGGCTCGGGTGACCAGCTGTTAGCGGAAATGCAAGGTCTCAACTTTCAATATACCGTCCAGCGTTTGGTATAAGTTGGCGTGCTGACAGGTTTTACGGCGAAGCATATAATATCGGAACATAGGACGCAATGCTGGCTGAGCCCCAAAGGGACCTCATAAGTAACGTGCTCAACCATCAGTGCTTCGTTAGTGAGGATGAGATCTGGCAGGGATGGTCGTTTGTTGGGTCGGAATCTGGTTGGCTGATAGGTGTGGTTGTACAACGGGGCCGTGTGAAGAAGAGCCATGAGACCTGATGCAAAGGAGTCAGTAGACGGGTTTGAGTGAAATAGACTGGGTAGGTTGAAAGCTCCCATGATAAGAAAGTGCGTGCGTTTGTGGGATAACATAAGGTGGACGTCGTGCAGTAGTCATGCATCCTTCTCGGGGTGGTTGTTAAGGGTTCGATAAATGATACCAAGGCAGCTGGAGTGTTTGGCGGTTAGTACGACCTCGCACCACATGGTGTCTGGAGACTGGATAACAATGTGTGCTAAGATGCTGCGACTTAGGGAGATGTCATACTACAGTGTAACACCGCCACCTGGGGTTGCGCGGTCAGAGCGAAGGACTGACATGCGAGGAAGTTGGGTTTCACTGTCAGTTATGTCGTCGGAGAGCCACGTTTACGTTGTGGCTATTAGGTCTGCTGGCATTGACGGAAGTCAGGATTGGAGTTCCGGACATCTAGACATGGGGCCCTGTGCGTTCGTATAGGTACTGGCGGGGCCCGTTACGGTGATTAGCGCGGAAGTAACTAGGGTGCTGCCGGTTAACAGATGACCGGCAGTGCACCGTTTTTTGGTTTAGAGGAGCGGAGCCGTTGAGGCTTGTAGTTGGGGAAGCAAGATGTGGGTCGTCGGCGCACAGATGGGTGCTGGCGCCTGGTTCGTTGAAAGACTGAAGGTTGGAATGTGTAGGTGAGTAGATTAAACTAGGCAGTGAAACAGTTGGATCGCTAATCGACCGTCTGAGGACGGTTTGGTCAGAGTGTCTGTACCTAGGGGGCTGCTATTGCGTAATCTTTGCAAGAGTCATACGTGAGCCGCTCGGCACCGTTATGAATTGGATCTGGCTAATTCAACCTCCACGAATCCAAAACTATTTTAAGCTTACGTTAATAGATGTAGTAGATAAAATCGGTCCATACCGGTGTTGCTCAGAGCCGACGGCACTGCCGCACACAGAGATCAGGCCAAAGTGTTCCTGATAAATACGTAAACATTATCAAAGCGTTGTACGCGCATAGTTCGGGTAGAGTGAGGGTTTATGGCAAACTGTCGCCACCCTTCAGTATCACCAGCGGTGTGAGACAAGGTTGCCCGCTATCACCTTTCCTACTTAACTACACAGTTGACGAAGTCATGTAATCAGCATTCGCTGGACACGACCTAGAATGTGTGGAGCTACTTCCTGGCGAGCGACCTCTTGACTTGGAGTATTCGGACGATATTTCTCTAATCTGTAATAGCTCCCAAACATGCCAATCAGCACTAAACCGATTAGCATCGGCTGTCTATCTTTTTGGGCTATGCATTGCTCCATCGAAATGCAAAGTACTTCTCCAAGATTGGCAAGAACCCACTTCTGCGCTAACGCTTGGTGGTGATCTGCTAGACGTCGTTCAGGAATTCAAGTACCTGGGTAGCTATATTAGCGCCCGTTGAATCAAAGAAGAGGTTACGAACCGTACAGGTGCTTTAGCCAATCTCCGGTACGTGTAACAGACGCGACCTTCTCGCGCCCTGAAGGGCAGAGTTTATAACGCAGCAGTCTGTTCAACTCTCCTGTATGGTTGGGAAAAATGGCCCATCAGGTCGACAGACAGTGAGGCGCGTCACATTCGATCATCGCTGCCTTCGCAGCCTAACTCAGGTCTGGTCGGAGCACCACGTGAACAATGAGCGTGTTCGGCGTTGCGTATTTGGTGCAGGGAGAGCGAGTGAACCGCTCAACACCATTTTATCACGCACCAGGCTCCGACGGATGGGCCACGTGTTGCGCATGCCAGCACATCGACGCCCGTGACGTGCATTGTTTGTGCGCGGGGGTGCGGTCGGAAGAGAAAGAGGGGAGGCCAAGCGACGACTTAGTAGAGATAAGGGAAATCGTTACTTCGAAGTTGGCGTCGGTTGGAACACCTCGACTGCCTGGCTGAGGTCTTAAAAACGCTGAATACGTTTGGTTGGACACACATGCTGATATGGCTAGGAGCCGGCCCCAGTGGCGTTTGTGTTGTGAGTTCCCTTTTCCATCCCCACCCTGCTTAGCATCCCCTCCAATCACGATCTAACTCCTTAGGCATAATATAACTCATTTTACAGCACGATAGCCGGAGGTTAGCTCTCCGGAACGATGTCCATCCGTTACTGGGGACTCAGCCGGCCTGCCACTGGTATTTTTCTTCTTGTCTTTTGTGTTGCGGCACAATGGCTGAGGTCTTTTCCACCTGCAGCTAACGTGTATAATAATGATGATGACTGTAGCGAAGAACGGAAATTAGTCTGAGAACGAAGCTCCGAGTATCCTTAGCAACCATTCGTGCCATTTTTATCTATGGTTGTGAAACATGGCTGCTGCGATCCAAAGACATTCGGAAGCTGGAAGTCTTCGACCATTGGTGTCTAAGACTTATCATGAAAATGCACTGGCATAAGCGTATCACCAATGACGAAATCCTCAAGCG